GTCCCACGCCAAGGACAGCCGCACTGCCAGAGCAGCGAGCACAGAGAGCAGGCAGTTTGTGACTGGCCAGGCCACGACGTCAGTCATCCCAACGAGGCAGGAGGGTCGGGCGGTAAACTGACCCAGATTCCAGAGAAATGGCCTCAGTGGGGCCAGGGATAGGGGGCCTTAAAGACACGTTAGGAGCTGTGGGGTGCGGCTCCCAGCTGCATTTCCTGGGCGCATCGGAGCTGGCGGTGGGGAAGGCTGTGATTCTGGGAGGCGTCGAAGCTGCTGAAGGCAGAGCTGTTTGCACTCGGCGCTGGAATAGCCTGCCTTCCTGTAGGACACACACTCCCTCAGTCTCCTCTCAGCGCCAGAGAACACCGCATGGACCCGATTTTTGCGTGTACCTGGTTTCTGCGGGTGTCGGAAGGCCGCCCCCGGTTCTCTGCGCTCAGGCCGCCAGCGCCCTGGCCAGGCTCCTCTCCTGCAGTTGAAATGCGTAGACGAATTTTGTACGATAGTGAAATTGAGAGATACATTGGGAAACCGCGTTTGTTGCTGGTGTCGAAGATCTTACAATGCTGCACAGTGAGTAGCAGTCATGAAGAGCCTAGCACATCAGCCGTCGGCCCGATGTCCTTGGGGCCATTACAGATGAACTCGCTCGTTGCATGTTTTTCTTTGCTTTGCAGAAAATAGTGCCCGTTGGAGAGTTAGGTGACTTTTCTCTATAAAGTATTAATTAAGAGCCTCTGGAATGGATTAGTATTAACTAAGAGTGCCACCCCTCTGCTGGGCCCCAGGAGTAGGGCAGGAAGGTGAGTGACATGGTGTCACTGTCAGGCGTGGTGACCATGACCTTTGAACTTCCACACAGCTGCTCGACTCACACTGGCTTCGTGAGAGAGGCTGGTTTTCAGAGGTTATGTTTACTCATATTCTGAAGCAAGCTCATAAAAAGATTAGGGTTTTTTTTTTGTTGTTATTAAAAAACGAAAACATCTGGGACCAACAGATGGCATAATGGTGACATTGCTGGACTCCTACGTAGTCAACCATGGTTCAAGTCCTGAACCCGGTGTCTTAAAACCCATACCAGGTACATGTGCCTGCATGCCCAAAATCCCAAGAAGAGAAGGGATTGCAGTGTGGCCATCCCCTTTAGGGGGTGATTTCTCTCTTTCTGTCTCTCTGTCTCTCTGGCAAGCCTATGTGCCCTATAGCAAAAAATCTCTCTAAAAAATAACAACTAAGACACCATCATTACAAGAACATTTGCGTGATGCAGGATAAGACATGATAAAGAAAACAAAGATCATCTTTAATCCTAACTCCAGGAATGAGGCTATGCATTTCCCATGCCAAATGGTAGTGTGATTTTAGAACCGGTGGGTGACTTTCAGTTTCAAGTGTCTTGAACTTAGCCCCAGGGAGTTACTCCCAGTGGCCATGGGGGTCCCTTGCTGTAGAAGTAGCAACATGTACTGACTAGTTCTCCTAACGCACAGTTGTCACTGCAGTTTTCTCAGTGTAGACAGTGATGGTACGAATAGCCTTAAAAATAAAACTTGCAGATATTCACAATGCTTTCCTTGTGTGAAGTCCAGAAATACGACTGGGACTCAAGGGTCATGCATATTCAGAGGACATTTCATGCACATCGGCAGGCACGTGCAGGTGTTTTTATTTTTTTTATTAATTCACTTGACACCATCACAACACACAAATGAATTTTCCATCCAAAATACACTGTGCATTGGCTCAATCAAGCACATCCACATACATGTTCTCAGCAAATAATTTTCCAATTCTTACGTCCTGCATACCTTGCCTTTTGTTTTGC